CAATGGCCCATGTAACAATTATATCTGCTCTATCAATTTTTTATTTTTTTGGGAGAACCTTTTAAAATTAAAATATATATCTAAAACCAGGTCCATAGTGAGGAGATGCCTTGTGCATAAAAAAAACCTGTAATTCTCTAGTTTATAAAATATTTTCACTATATTACATTGTGTTTTTTCCCCCCTGTTTTTGTTGCTTGATACATCAATGGGTTAAAAAAAGTTTATTTTTTCCTTCACAGCAGCAGAGCACAGAATCTAAATCTATTAACACATTATGATGTTTCTGCAGACGGGGCTGTGAGAATACTGACATATGGGCAATTGCATATCTAAGCATCTAAAACAGGGCAGCCAGTGTGCTCCTGTACCTGCTGGGAGCTGAGCAGCCAAGACGGCTGAAAAACGTATTCTTTTAAAAACAAGCAGGGCTCCAGTACAACTCTTACTGGAAGCAACTAATCTTATTTTTACAGTACCAGCACTGAATTGCTGTTTTGTTTCCACCAACTCCTCTTATTTCGAGTTAGGTGCCAGTCAAGCAGACTCTCGAGAAAGTTTGTTTTGAACACTAACATAATGTGTGAGGACAGACATTGAAATGTGTTAATCTTGAAATATTTCTGCTAGGCATTTCTGCCTATTTCATTCAGTATTCACTATTTGCAGACTTGGGCACATTTTTTTCCTGGTAATATCAATGTGAAAATGCTTAGTAAGATCTGAAATGTTGTGCGAATATTAAGGCCAACACATGATGTGCTCCTCATATACAGCTTATAAGGGATATTATTTCACAGACATTTTTTGGTAGATTTATTTTTTCTGTTACACAGTGACCTTAGCACTCTTCTACTGTAGCCAGGTTGCTGATTTTTGCCACTGAAAATAGGGCTTATAGTTTATCAAACACATAGGGAAGAGTTTATCAAAACTGGAGCAGACAAAATCTGGAGCCGTTGCCCATGGCAACCATTCAGCATCTCTCTTCAGTTTGCACAGGTGAGAACTGAGACAGAGAAGCTGATTGGCTGCAATGCAAATCTGCTCTAGATTTTGTTTGCTCCAGGTTTGATAAATTCCCCCTATAGTATTACAAAGAACCAATCAGTTCATGTGCTGAAAGAAGCATGCTGATAAGATGAGAGAGCAGAATTTGGGGGGGCTGGTGTTCTGATTGTGTAGTGATAGCATTTAATATTTCTTTTTACCCATAAATATGTTTTCATATAAGCTGCTAACAGGTATTGGGGAAAAATGGTTGCACCATCAGGGGTGAAGACAGCAGTCATGTTTTATTTACACGTTGAGCAAATAGATGCCAAACATGTCAAACATTAAAATTGTGCGCGCCCATTCAATGATGAAAAACTATGGTACTCAAAAGTGTCCATATAAGATGTTTTAAAAACCTTTACTGCTCATCATTTTAAAGGTAACAGCAAACTAGGGCCCTAGAATTATTGTTCCCACGCCGTCATTCACGGTGATACAAAACAAGTGTGCTGTAAGCACCTTTAAGTACACATGCATGCCCTACACATGCATATTTATTTACATGCAGATAGAGCGGGCGTTGGGTTAGTTTTACAGTTTAAAAAAAAAATATATATTTTTACTATAACACTTTTTTTTTGTCTAATGGACCTGCTCTCCAATACAGACAATCAAGCACAAGAATATGCTTGATGGCCTATGTAACCAGCACTTCAACTGGCATCTGACAGCTCTGAAGCAGGAAACGTTGAGAGCACAGTGCTTCCTGCTTCATTCATCGTAGAGCAGATCAGGGAATAGACATTCCTTGGTCTGCTCCTGTTCTACATCCAGACAGTGTATGCCGTGGTCCTGGGCCCCCCAGAGGATTGGGGGAGCACAAAAACCACAGCGTGGAGGGGGAGGTGAGCAGGGGGGTGGTACCTTCAGAGGTGGGTACAAGTGATCAGGCGGCCCCTAGCGCTGCCCCTTCCACTATTACAAAGTCAAGTTGTAATACTTACTCTGCATGTAAAAATTGTTTAAAATGTTAATAGCTTTTATTGAACACATATTTGCATTCATTGTTTAAAAAAAGTTAATAGTTTGGGTTTTTTTTTTACTAAAAAAGGAATTAGTTTGTGTTTCTCATCTCCCTGGAGTTCAGCTTTAGCTCCCGATATATATAAAACGTATTTGCTGGCATTGGGTTTGTCCAAATCCCAAATATTTGCTTTTCCCTAGAAAAGAACAGGCCTAGACAGAAAAGGAAAACCACTCCAGGGTGTAATGTCTTCAGCACATGGCCGAGCTTCCCCGCACTGGGCTGCTTGTTATATTTACTAGTGAATAAAAGCTTCCTTCATCGGTCACACCTGAAGGACAAACCTTTCTCAAAGGTATTGGCTTTCCCATTATAAAAGAAAAGCAGACAATATGAGCATCTATGTTTTAAAAGTCATTCTGTAACAGGAGAGTGGCACAGAAACAAAACCATCTTACCTAGGCGATGATAACAAAGATCACATACCCTTCAATGAACGTTGATTTAAGCAAGTGATATCCATTGCATCACAGTAATAATGAATCTGTTAACCTTTCGCAAACCAAAAGCAGTTACTTTACTGTAAAATAAGATCTTCTAGTGTCTCTTGAAGATTAACAGGTGGGTGATTGTGTAGCCGTGCCAGTCATAAGGGATTAGTAATACGGCTGGCAGGGCAACATAAGATGTACTGTACATACAGGAAAGTAAACTTGTACTTCATTTCGGTTGTGGTAAACTCCATCACTATTTTATTTATATGGTAAATAGAAACTTGGAGAAACATGTACTGTTCACCACCAATGTGCCTTTTTAGGTCTGGCAGGGATTTGAAACTTCAGAGGGAGACGAGAAGATTGTTAGTCCTTGGAGATACTGTGCATGTTCTTTGGGTTCATCAGTCATTAAATCTTTATTAAGAGCAAACTCAGTGATTGACATTGGAGTCGGGGGAAAAAGAGGTGATTTTAGTGCAAGAGAACCCTTCCACGGTATCAATAGGGGTAAACATTAAGGGTGCAGCTAAAATATTCTTAAATACCTCTCCAGTTGGTTCACTGCATACCCTCCCAAAACAGGCTTTACCCTCTATTCACAAAACAATTATGCAAGTCAATTCACAAAAATCTTCAAATGGGTAGAATTATTTGAAAATATGCATTTCAACTGTTAGATGTCCATTTTATTTGAAAAATGACTTTCATAGCTAAGCAGGATTTAATCAACTCAACATTTGAGTTAACCCATCTAAGTAAATTAAAAGAGAACTATGGCCAAACCTTTTTTGAATGTAATTCCCTTTAGGGTCACAGGAGGACATTTAATAATGTTCTCCTGCGACCCAAAACCCAGCATATAGTGAGCTATTGCCCGCTTTATATGCTGACAAAGCAGAGTCACTCAGCAGCTAGGAAGGATCCCGGCATTATTATCGGGATCCACCCCACTACCTGATTGACAGCTGGCTCTGCTTCCCGTCCCCTCCCCCATATGTCTCTCAAGTCGGCACTGAAGGAACAGAGAGGGGAGGGAGGGAATCCCTGCAGGAAGTGTTGTCACCGCTCTCTGCAGGGAGAAGATCATGAACTGAGCAATCAGCAGTTTGTGATCACTCAGTTCTCGATCAATAGAGCGGACGTGTGACAGCTGCAGTGTCCTACATCGGCGCTAACTATTGGGATGAGTGTATTTCACTCATCCCATATTTCTCAAAAGGATTTTAAGCTATTTCAAATCCAGATGAAATCACTTAAAATGAATGCTGCACCTTGATATTTAAACGTTTTTTTCCTGCGGAATTAGCTGGTCCCCTGAGCACTGACCTGGACTTAGAGAGACTTTTAGAGTGACTCCCTCAAGCAGAGTACTATGCAGTCACCCTTGTGTGTGCTAGTATGCTGTGTGTGTTTCCACAAACACACTGACACGGCAAATGAAGCTACTTCCCTCCCCCGGCCCCTCTCCTCCCTTCTACAAGCTAGTAGATGAACAGTTGCTATTCCTAGTGATCTAGTACTGGACATGAAGTTCAGGGAAGCAGAGTTAAGAAACTTGGAAGCAGCTGCTCAGAAACATGATGATTGTAAGTATTTGGGCAAAACAGTAAAGCAATACTTTGCTGGGCAATGTATAGTTGTTTGATCTGGATTCATTATTGGAAAAAAAAGTTTGAGAGTTTAACCCCTTAGTGACACAGCTTCAGAAAATGTTTTCACTTCTGGGGACTGGAGCAATTTGACATTTTTGCTATGTGTTTGTTTAACCATAATTTCCATCTACCTCTTGCACACCTATACATATTATGTACCGTTTTTCAAAGGACAAAATGGGATTTAATTTGATGTGACATATGCATATATAAATTATTATTTTTTATTTAAAAAAAACCCTCAAATTCTTTTATTTGTCCTGATTTAGAGGGTATATCATATGTCTGGGATTTCAGTTTATTTTGGGAGTTATAGGTCAGAAAATGCACCGTTGAGTTTGGATTACACCGCTGCACTAGAATAGTATGGGTGGGGGGTGGGGGGGGGGGGGGGGGGGGGGGCGGGGTGGCAGGAGGTTTTCTTAAGCCTGAAACCCAGAAACATTCTTGGTATGCCAAAGATTGTGGCAATTCCATGGGTTACAGCAAGAGCTCAGCATTTAGGCATCTGGTATAAATGTATAGTATTACTTAATTTGCAGTCTGCAGTCTATTGACTTTCCAGGTCTCCAGACTTTAGAAAATCTATTCTAGTGTAACAAATGTTATGTCCTGTTCCTCTTCAGAGGTCTTTTAATGAACACTTTAGTCCACTACTGTTAAACAGGCTTCCATTTAATAACTTTTTATCCAGCTAATGCAAGAAAATAAAGTGAGAGCTACAGAATGCGTTTTACAGCCAGCATTAGTGTAGTATACCGTGCCATAAACCTAATGCTTAATGTCCATGTATGTTTGTGTTTATTCATTCTCTTTTTTTTTTCTTCTTAGGTGAGGCACGTCTGACACCAGAAGATTTTGCTAGAGCACAGAAATACTGCAAATATGCTGGTAGTGCTTTACAGTACGAGGATGTTAATACAGCAGTGCAGAACCTCCAGAAGGCCTTGATGCTTCTCACCACTGGCAGAGAGTGATGGTCACACCATGTGCAGCTGTACTTAGTGATTCCACCCTGAATGAGAAGTTCTTGATTTCATAAAAGCTGCAATGATCCATTGAATTTTTATCCTTCAGCAGCAGGGTGAAGGCCAATCCATTAAATAAATGACACTTTAATATGTTTACATGTGTGAATGATGCTTCTTTCATTAAGAGTCATTTTCCAAGGCTAAAATTACCCTCAGATTTTCTGGTTCCTTCGTGTGAGTTAGGATCCAGTGTGGGGTTACTCGTCAAATGCATGGGGTACCATATTTTTGCAAATGATACTCAACCAGTAGCAGTCTATTGAGAAACACTTTTTGAGCTCTCTGAACAAGAGCAAATTTACACTTGGGGCCCAATTGGCATATGAGCACCTCTCTTCTAGTGTAAAGTAGATCATACCAAAGTAAACAACATATTATCTTAGAGCATAAAACCATACTGTGAGTTAAATCTTAAAAATACATTCAAGTACCTTAACTATTAACAAATGTAATTTTGTAATATAAATGTATCTTATTTGTATATCACTCAGCTGTACATCCTCAAATCATCTCAGAATTCGTCCTTCCTTCTGGGGGGTGGCTATGTTTGTTCCCTATGGTCCCTCTGTATGTTGTAAAGTAGCCATTGCTCCAAGCTCGCTCCTGTGATGGACTACAATCTCACGTTTAGTTTACTAATTTGTGTTGAAATTATAGTCTATTATAGGAGCGAGCTTGGAGAGGTGACTACTTTACAACACACACAGGAAACATGGGGAACAAGAGTAGCCATCCTAAAGAAGGAAGGACAGTGTCAGTATGAATTCAGAGATGATTTAAGGCTCTACAGCTGAGTGATACACACAAGATACATTTTTGTTAATAGTTAGGGTACTTGAATGCATTTTTAAGATTTAACTCCTAAGTTTAGTGTTACTTTAAGGGCCGGTTTCATGGGACTTGTGTCAATAGCATCAGTTTTACACCAGTTTTTTAGATGCTTCTGAAATCAATTTAAAATTCACTGCTAAGTGCATTTGACCTGCTTGAAGCAGGTTTTGCATTCCCATTGTACGTAAATGCAAAGCCTGCCTGAAGCGAACAAAAACCTGTGACGCAGGCCTTTTTTCAGTGCATTTAAGATTCTGACCTCTGGAAAGTATTGCCATAATTACAACAGGATTCCAGGCAAACAACCAACAATGTTGCAGTTGAAATACTTAAGTGAACTTCTGTACTACCAAATTCTGTTCAATCAGTCTTGACTTTTGATGCACTCAAGTTGGTGACACCATGGTTTCTTATTCCATCTTTGCAGCTTCCCATGTCTCCTCCCTGCTTATTGGACAATATAACAAAAGTACAATGATGTTGAACCATTGTCAACTCTGAAACACATGTTGAGTGCTGTCAATTGCCTGGCTGTACTATGACTGGCAGAACTGAAAATACCTTGGCAAAGGAAATTGTCACACATATGAACTTCAACTGTTTGCCTGGAGTGCTGCTTTAACTAATGCATTGTACCAACAACAATAAAGCCTTGTTTGCACCCCTGATTTAGAAGGTCCTGGGATTTTTCAACACTATCGGCTTATAAATCTGCTTTAAATGATGTTACTGTGTGTAACATGAAAGTAAACCTGCCAACCTTTTTACAATTTCAAAAATAAAAGTCCACAAGGTGGCTACCAGTAACCTAACTCCTTACAATAAATACATTAAACCCCTTTTCTTTCACACCATGTCTGTACGACCTCATCTTTCCCAACTTGGGGGATAAGCCCTGCACTCCCACTGCCCATTGAGAGAGAACGTAATTGTCTTATCATTGGACAGTGACAGACCTTAGGGAGATAATCAAGGCCTTACAAACAGACTGTGTTGGAGGGCTCTCTCGATGGAATGCAAACGGCCTTTCAAGTTTCAGTTCAAATACAGTATTCATATTTTTGTTATCCAGATAAAATGTCAAAATAAATATTTAATATTCACCCTTTGCAGCCAAGCATGTGGCTAGTGCAAGTCTGGTAGTCAGAGGTTTTATTACTGATTTACTGCTGAGCTTTGGCTACAGATCCAATAGCAGGCTCTCAGGCTACATGCACAGCATAAGTCAGCTGAATGATTTAGAGGAGGGACAATCTCCCCTTCTTCATCCTCTCCAAGTACAGAGGGTGCCGTCTAGATCTTCAATCTGCAGTAGGAGACAACAAACACTGGCTCTCTCTATTAGACAGTATAGCATACACTAAAGCATGACAACACAGAGAATTCAATCTTGTTAAATGTCTTTATAATCTATAACAGTTACAATAATGTACAATATAATTGACCAAAGCCTTCATAGTTTCCACTTAGGAAAAGCCTTCGGTTTTGAAATTGAAAAAGACCGACAGGTTTGCTTACATCTTAAGATGATGTGTTTAGCTATGCAACCTACAGGATACAAATTAGCAATGTAACTCAAGGTGTATTTACATGTATTGGATGAGTTCTGAAAGGGGAGTTAACGGTAATACACTAGTGAGATCATCCAAATCATAAAACTGAACTCCAGGTAAACAGGTAAAATACAATCTTGTGGTCTCTGTACCCCTGTCAGGCAGTATAGCCAGGTTGCTGACCTTACTTTTCTCTACTTGTATATGTTACAGCTTGGTCCCCAGCCTCTGACTAGACAGTGAAGCAGAAGCAACACAGCAATGAGCCTTCTGCTCACTCTGCTTTCTAGTCCTGTCAGCCTTCTCAAACTGCTGACTCTATGAAGCAAAGCTCTTATTCACTAGGGTTTACTGGCCCTCTCTCTTCCAGTTTGAATGCTGCAGTGGATTGGTTTCTAGGAGGCTGATTTTAGAAAAAAATGGGGGATTTATGAACCTTTAGTTAATATGGAAGTGGATTAAAATGTGTTTTATATCTGCCAAGAGTTCACCTCCAATTTTGTCTTTGAATGCTTTACAATATAAAAGAAAACAAGCCCTGCATTAAGCAAGCCAGGCTCTGTGTCAATCCAATGTAACACCTTTGACATCCACAAATTTGACAACAAAATGATGACCGGTCAGTTACACATGCTTTACCAGTGCATCATATCATCATATTTTGGTTTGAGGTGGTTATCCATTTTTTGACAAGATGCACAATATCATTTATTCCTTTAGATGGTAAATGTCAGGTTTCTTTTTCCCAACTTGAGTTGCTCTTCTTCCCACATCTTGGTAGGTTATCTGAAACATTACAAATGCATGTCATTAAAATGCATGTATGTCATCATTTTGCTTTAGAATAAATGGAATTCAAGTAATCATGGTGTCAGTGTTTTCAGTTTCATGCCATAAATGTATATGATTGTGTGATCATGTGAAAAGCAAAAATGCCCTTTTTCCTATTGCATGGATGGGAGTCATTTCTGAATATTGGATCAAACTGCAGTTGAGCGAAAAGCAAGGTTGATGCCGCTAACTAATAAAAAGAGTCAGATTTTATTTAGCTATTAAAGTGAATGAGGGATTAAACTGGATTGGTTGTGAAGGGCAATCACCACTAGTTATAAATTGACTGTCCAAAAAAAAGTCACCACATGGATTTAGCTAAGCAAATAGGTCAGATCCTTCCATTGGATAATGGTTGTAGGTTCAGCATTGTTATGTCTCAGCTGCCTACAATAACCAGTATATCTATCAATGGATTTTTTCTTCCCTGATGGCATGGGCATAATCCAAGATGGCAATGCCAGGATTCATCGGGCTTAAATTGTGAAAGAGTAGTTCAGGGAGCATGAGCCATCATTTTCACACATGGATTGCCCACCAACATCCAGACCTTAACCCCATTGAGAATCTTTGGGATGTGCTGGAGAAGACTTTACCAGGGGTCAGACTCTCTTATCATCACTACAAGATCATGGTGAAAAATGAATGCGACTCTGGATGAAAGTAAATGTTGTGACATTGCATAAGCTTATAGAAATGATGCCACTGCGAATGCGTGCTGTAATCAGAGATAAAGGCGGTCCGACAAAATATTAGAATATGTGACCTTTTTGAAGGACAGGCAGTGTATATAAATAATACTGCAGTTATGCTCCAGTTTTTCCACATGATTAAGCAAGTTTCATTTATCAACTATGGACATGTTTCTTTTTTTTTTTTTTTTGCAGAGGTATGTGTAAGTGTACAAAACTGGAGAATGTAGGCCTGTTTCAAATAGGAACCAATGCAGCATGTTTAATGATTTTGAAGGTGGTGAACCCTCATTGGTTGATGTGAGAAACCTCTAGAGTTATTCTGCATTTGGTGGAGGGGGGAGTGATAGGTATAAATTAAAATGTGAACTAAAGATTAGTTGACCGATACCCCCTATGGGGTAGAACATTATCAATGATGCACCCTATATCTAAGAATTGAATTAGGCGAAAAAAATAACTTTTTGCATTTATGCAGAAATAAAAACCTGATGGGAAGTTTAGTTTATGAACTTGCTCCTTTTCAAAAACCAGCAGCACTCCACTCGGTTTTCACTGTGACAGGTGCTCATTCTGTATTAGGAGCTTTGTGAAGTTCTGATAAACAGAACACAGCTATCGGCTGTCAGAGCTCCGATGATTACACTAGGAGAGTAAACTGTAATTAGTTGTTATCAACTCCTTTATTCTTACCTTCCCTTATATTTTTTTCCTGATTTTTTTTTTGTAATTAATTTTTATGTAAACTTTTAAAATTTGCGTTCATTCATGTTCATTGCGCCAATCAAAAAAAAAAAATGCTTTGTACTGGAAACATGCTTCTAGTGCAGGGGTAGCCAAACTCCGGCCCTCCAGCTGTGGTGGAACTACAAATCTCATGAGGCATTGCAAGATTCTCACAGCCACAGACATGACTCCCATAGAGAGATGCATCATGGGATTTGTAGTTTCACCACAGCTGGAGGGCCGGAGTTTGGCTACCCCTGTTCTAGTGCTTTTATAAAATGGACAAATCACATAGTTAACTATAGTTACATAGTATTTGAGGTTGAAAAAAGACACGGGTCCATAAAGTCCAACCCATAGAGTGTATGCATGTGAATCTACACGTGCATGAGTGTGGATGAGTTTGTGTGTCATCTTCTTCTGAAGAGTACCTGTACCCCTGTATGTTGCGGTCTCTGAGGAAATCGTCCAAATGCTTTTTGAATGATTCAACACTCTTAGCTGAAATCACTGCTTGTGGCAGCGAGTTCCAT